GAGGTTGAAGGAAAAATAAATTTCGATCCAGAAAATGAAACCCTATGCTCTAGCAGTTCCTTAAAACCGTTGGTCAATCAAATAATTTGGTCGTTCCATCCGTTTGAATATTGTAGGATCAATGCCATGATAATCGTTTCCGCATGTTTTGCGCCGATTTTAGTTTTAACCCTCGGTATACTCGTGTATCTGAACCGATGGTGGATAAACTATAAGTTGTATCTCCTCAAGTTGGCTATCGTTGGTTACCATGAGATCACTGAAGATCGAAATCCGGAGGACTATGAATACCAACTCAACATCATGTTCCATGATGACGATGAATGGTGGGTAAATGACTGTATGAAACCTTTTCTGGAGCAGAGGATGCCTCATCTGGAGCGCGTCATATTTGGCGATGCCGATCTTCACCCAGGATTGTTCTACTTGAACGCCATCTATGACGTCATCGAAAACAGCCACAAGACAATATTGTTGCTTAGCAACCAGTCTGTAGATGATGCCTGGTACATGACCAAGCTCCGTATGGCAGTGGAACACATGAATGACACCAAGTTGGAGAAGGTCATCCTGATTTTCCTTGAAGACATCGATGATGACCATCTACCGTACCTTGTTAGGCTCTTGCTGAGTCGGAACAAGCCTTATTTGCTGTGGTCAGAGGATGAAGAAGGTCAAGAGGTCTTCTGGGCAAAGGTCCAGAAGAGCATGAGATCAAACCGGCAAATGAACAATGTTATACCCGTTTAAGAAGAAGGTTGAGTTCTGGTCCTTAGATTACATTGTGAATTAAACTTTCTGGAAGCAATTAGCATGATTTAAAAAGGTTGATCATAATTATACGAGGTAACACACACTTTGTGCGCTCATGGCTGGTGCTTTGTTGTAAATGTTGTACACTCACATACAGGTGTTTATAATCTTTTTCTTGAATATATTTGTTTTCCCGTTAATGTTGTTTTTGTAAATTTTTCTAATTTCTCGATATATATTTCATGGTTGGTGCCCCCAATAACAAGTTTGTATTAAACTTATTTTGGGGCTTCTAGTTCTAACCCCATGTTTTTATATTTCCATTAATTATTGTATATGTATTTTTATGGTTGAAATACAAAGAATTGCATTGAATTGAAGAGCAACCCTTCTCGGGGTACAATTCTACGGAGATTTTCTTCCAAAATAACTTTGAAAAACTGAACAGGTTGCAATTTTTTCTCATCTTTGCCCAAAACTCAACCTTCTCTTGCAAACGCATGGTGGTGTGACCATAGTTCGCGCGTGAACTTTATTCGTGGACAGTTCCATATCTCAAAATATTCGGTAAGATCTCAAAATTCTGATATCACCAATGAAATGAAAAACATATACTTACCTTATAATGAAATTGGGTTTAAAAAATATAGATACTGACGAAAAATCCTCAAATGTTGCAGTCTTTTGTGTCCGTTCCGAAAAAAAGGAACTTACAGACAAGGGTCTGGAAATCTTCATTTTGAGAGACGATGTCATCAAAATTGTTAGTAAACAGTAATACCCACTGATTGCATGATATGTTGATTTGCAATTTATGCAATTACCTTATCTTTGATTAATCGCTTGTTTTGTCAAAGCACTTGAGTACACTCTCGTGTGCTAATTAAGGTCTCTTTGTTTTTATGATCTTTTCTTTAGTTGTAGCGCATTCATATTCGATATCTAATTTTGAGATCGCGAAATCGCAGGAATTCTTTGGACGATAAATTTTCTAATCGCACCTATTTGTAGTTTAATATTTGAACGTTCGTTTTTACTAATTGATCCTAATAATTTTGTGTGTAATATGAGAAATTGTGGATCGAATATAGTATTCGTTTGATTAAAATGTAAACTAACTTTGGACACCCCATCCTACTTCCCTTGCCATGTGCCTGTGATAGGGAAAGTTTGTGTAGGCCAACTGCTGATTAACATTGAAATGTCTTCTTGAAGTTTTGACTTCCAAAAGGTGTTATTCACTTATGAATTTCGAGTTTCATCTTCTAATTTAACAGTTTCCTGCATGAAATATGCGCTTGTAACTAAATTTAGTCCGTCTATCTTACTATCTTTTCCTATGTTGCTTTATGATTTTTGTATCGGTAACATTGGAAATATTTCTATCTCAGACTAAAACATTTTATATAATTTGGACAGTGGGACATGGAAGAGACTGGATTTCCAACGGTTGTGTAATGTGGCTGGGTTCGGAAAGGGAGATTGTGGAGTTTGGGAAGTTGTTGGTATGTAGAGGGAGGGTGGATGGGTAACATTGTATGTGTGTCTGTCCATTTGAATGTGTGTGTGTGTGTGTGTGTGTGCGTGTGCGTTTGTGTGTGTGTGTGCGTGTGTATGTAGGGAGGCTCTTTTTGAAATATTATTCATTCATTGCACAACATATTATATTGTTATAAATGAGTAATAACTTCCAACTGTACATTATTATATTTCTGTACTAATTAGGAACTAAGCGTGTTTTTTGTAATAATATGATATGGAGATGTAAAAATGGGAATGTGCGATTTTGTTATCGTATATTTCATTCATGCTAAAGTAATGTACATGTAACTTAAATATCTGGTAGTATTATGAAAAATTATGTATATATTATCTTTCTGTTGTTATTTTTTTTTAATTGAATGAACAGTGAAAAAAAGTAAATAAAATAATTTTAAAAAGCAACAAAAAGCAAACAAACAAAAAGAAATCAGAAAAATGATTTATGTTCTTACTTTAATGCAATGACAATTTACGATTCGTCCCCTTTACCTCCTGAAGTAACGAAATATATTGTCTTTATCTAAAATACTTAAAAAGACTGAATGAATTAGATGTATAAGGTGTAAGCATTGAAATAATGATTTCATTGATAGTACAATTGTCAAGATCAGTGTGAAATTTATAGCAAAACATTTCGTATGGATAAATTACTATGACAATGATAAAGTTCAAGGAAAACACGATCTCAAAGAACTTTCGAGAACAAAAATCAACCTAAGCCAATTTTAATAGCTATGTTTTTCACCGATTTAAATTAATGTGCACACATTATACAGTGCCGCAACACCTAATCCGATCATTTCTATGGGATATCAAATGATACTCAAGGTAATTAACCTGCTCCCAGAATACGTTCATAATAGGGTGATCAGCATTATCAGTTATAGAAAATGGTAATAAGTTCAACCAATTTTATCAAGAACTGAGATTTTAATTCAAATACGAAAGGAATAAGTTACACTGTTATGGTATCGAAAACTCTAGGAAGTTTCCTTGTAATGTTCAAAACATCTCTTCATTAATTGTACTCCTAATAACAAGTCATATCGAAACGTGCAGTATTGCCATTAAGTTTACACATGAACCGCGGTACAAACGTTTAGCTTGACAAAACTCATAACAGCATCTACAATGATTGAATGTTACCATGGTTACTTTGTCATTGTGTCACTTATCAGAAGGTTTTTATTTCTGATAAATCACACGTAGTTTAATACAAACCATAGGATTATGCTTCAAATGTTTGAGCTTGTCAGTAATTTCACGTTTTTTGTTTTCTGTTTGTGCAACCAAAAAAAAGTGTAGTTCTAAGTATTCTAACGTAGTTTACGATATATTACCATTATAATGAAGAATGTTGTTACCATAATATAATAATGCTGTTTCTAGAATGTAAATCTTAATATCTGACCATTAGATTAGATAAATTCTCACAGAAACTAGATTTGAAATCCCTGCACACATTGTACTGTACAATATAATACTAAAAAACTTCATCTCTCCTCTCTATTTCAAATGTATAGTAATGAATATTATGATATGAAAACTCATGAATATGGTAATCTTCACTTGCATATGTTCTCTATTTTGTCCGTCGCTTTAGATGTTGTATCATCACTCTAATTGAGTAATTAAACACCGAAAAGGTGGTAAAGCTAGACAAATTTCTTTAATTTTCTTTTGTTGTTGACGGATTGAATGTGTGCTATATCATTTATCCTTGAAATCACGTAGATGCCCTGGACCATACATATATCTCAATAAATGGGTCTTAATTGAAAGTTGTAGAGGTTCTGTTCTATGAAGCTTGTGTTCATATTATTGTCATGGATGTGTGATTGCCTAATCCTACACAACATTCCAAAGGTCAATACTCTACAACACCCTCGGAATATTTCAAATATTACAAACAGGAATGAGATCAAACCACAGTGCATTCTAATTTACATCTATATTAAATACTCATCTACTTTTATCCACTAAAACCAAATATTTCTATGTACTGTGCAAGTTCTTCAATAATATACTATTTTTTTTTAATAGTTTTGTACACATATATGCTGTGTATGATTATAATAATACGAATTGCTAGGGTTTGTATAGTAGTAGTACATATATATACTTATATATGTTTAATATATACATATATATGTATAGTAAAAGAAACGGATTTTATGATGTTTAACCATCGTATCTGATAAGCTATATACGTAACATTTATTTGCACATGCCCCAATATAGATATATAATATCGCTTGATGCGATTGTACTCCAGCACCCGCTTCACAAATCTTAGACGATATTATACTGTCCGGCATTATAAACAAGTCATATCGGTACCTAAATTATAATCCCCAAGCCAGCTTATGAATAGCTCACAGTAGTAAACCATGTACTCCCAAACCCTCACATGGGAATGATATGGCATCAAGGTAGATGTAAACGGAAACACCGCCACTTCATCAGGCAGTGAGTGTTGTGATATGCATGTACCTACAATAGTGGTCATTTATCTACCTGTCTAAAGTGGCCACCTTTATTATTGGCTCCTTCTCTAGAGCTTGTAGCGCCTGTGATGTTATGAGAGTACAAAAGTTACTAGTCTGGGCTATTCATATTAAAGGTGGCTTAGTAATTATGATCTTGGTAACGTTAAAAATTTGTTCTTCTTCTTCATAATACGGTACAGCTATAATACTGTGTTAACTTGGTGAATGGAATGACTCCAGCCGGTCTTTAGGTGGTGGTGGGGGCTGGGGTAGGTGCAGCATCGGCGTTGATGATACCAATGAGAACATTCTTGTAGTCTCCACTGGTATCGTCTTCGACCATGGCGGCCAGGGTGGTGGTGGGGTATTTCTCTTTGAACATTTTCTTGATGGAAGCCAGGTCGATCTAGGCCAGAGAGAGAGAGAGAGAACGCCAAAGATATATTCAAAAGGAAAACAAAATAAATTCAAGGGAAGAAAATAAAGTGTCCTTTTTATATCATAAACGAGGTATTGGTGGTTCCTAATCTAGATTCTTATTGAACCGATTCAGGCGCGTACGCAGGATTTTTTCGAGGGGGGGGGGGGGGTTAAAACTTGAAAAAATTCGCAACCACTCGGCCGTCCGCTGAAAAAGCGGGGGTGGGGGGGGGGAGGGGTAAGAGGACATATTTTTGTTGGTTTTTTGGTCCCAAAAATTTCGCAACGACTCAGCCGGTCGCTGAATAAGCAGGGGAGAGGGGGATTAGGGGGGGGGGGGGGGGGGTAAGATCACATTTTTTTATTTCTGCATTTTCAAAATGAAAAATAATCATATACATAAAGTAACAAATATTTCTTCATTTTACATAATTATACATTTGTAAGTAAATTGAATAAGATGCATACAAACACAAATATAATTTCAATGAAAAAAAGATAAATTACAGAAAAAGCAGGAGACCGCCATCATGAGCGGTTTTTTATTTCTGCATTTTCAAAATGAAAAATAATCATATACATAAAGTAACAAATATTTCTTCATTTTACATAATAACATTTTTAAGTAAATTGAATGAGATGCATACAAACACAAATATAATTTCAATGAAAAAAAGATAGATTACAGAAAATGCAGGCGACCGCCATCATGAGCGGTAAGCTTGAAATCGATGGCGGCCTTGTGTGTGTGTGTCTTAAAATCTGAGAATTAGGCCGATCAATATTTCGTTTTGTTAAGGGGGGGGGGGGGGTAAGGTCAACTTTTTAGGTCACCTAGTACCACAATTATTATTTTTTTTGTTAAAAACAAAACAGTGGGGGGGGGGGTCTCCAAAACACATACATAAAAAGTTAAGGGGGTTCGACCCCCAGCCCCCACCCCCCCCCCCCCCCCCCCGTACGCGCCTGACCCGATTATCACTGAATTCTCTCCCACTATAGGCTTAAGACATGGACCACTCGGTTGCAGTGCGCAGTGGTTTGAAATAAGGTGAAATATATGCTCTGCTTGTATTTTAAATTTTATTGTGGCGAAGCCAAGGACGGGAAGGAACAAATTGTCCGATGTCCCACTTGCCCTAATAAATTTATTTAGACCAATTTAAAAAATGAATGCAAGAGGGAGATAGAAAGAGAGAGAAGTAGAGAATGCTAAAGAGAGAGAGAGAGAGAGAGATGGGGAGGGAGAGGGAAGGGAGATAGAGATAGGAGAGAGAGATATATATATATATATATATATATATATATATATATATATATATATATATATATAATAGAGAGAGAGAGAGAGAGAGAGAGAGATAAAGAAAGGGTAAGGACGAATTTTTTTTTTTTTTCTGATTTAAATATTTGTCCCTCCTGTATGACCAACTTACCTCTGATCTGCCTACGACGATGCGAATGAGTTTGTCATCGTCGGTACCTAGTCCCTTCATGGCCCAGTACAGCGAGTCAACGTAGAACCCAAGAGGTTGGCACATGCTCTTGACTGTGAATATGATCATATGGGAGGAGATGAAATTAGTCACGGTTACGTTACATTCAATTTCCAGTTTAATTACTTACAGTACTAAGTACAAAGTAAAGTACATAGAGGAAATGCCATTAATTATTCGTATGCAGCCCCCGGTTTAGTTGCAAAACATGCCGGAATACCTCAATTAATTATCTACGTTTTGATATCAAATTCCCATGAGATTAGGATTAATTAACATCACAATTTCGTAAAATATTGTTTTTTGTGATTTTCATAAAGGGATAAAGGAATAATGTAAAACAAGAAAGATAGAAAGAAGATACAGAGAGAGAAAGACACAAAGAATAAGAAGAAAAAGAAAGAGGAACAGAGGAGAAGGTGGAGAAGGAGAAGGCTAAAAAATGAGGAAGGAGGAGGAGAAGAAGAAGGAAAAGAAGCAGAAAAAGAAGAAGGAGAAGAAGAAGGGGGAACGGAGGAGAAGGGGTAGCGGAGCAGAAGGAGGCGGCTAACAAAGGAGAAGGTGAGGAAGGAGGAGGAGGAGGAGGAGGAGGAGGAAAAGAATAAAAAGAAGAAGAAGAAGACGACGACGACGACGACTAAATTTAGAACTTACAAATAACAGTGAAGGCAGCTTTCTGAGTTTCATCCATTTTGCTATCCTGCATAACTTTCTCCAAACTCAGATTGTTGGCCTGAAATTGCTGCAAACAAAATCCATTAGAAAGCAATCAGATATCCATATTATAATGTTTACATCTTTATATGGGAAGTCCCAACGGTAATACTACACCTTTAACGGCACATAATAGCTCCGCAGTCAGTATTGTGTCATAAACAATTTCCAACGTTATTTCTGTACATCGCTTAATTTTCACGAAACATAATTGTGATATGTGCTATATAAATATGTTGGATTATAAAAGTTTTTAAAAAAAAAGATTTTTATCCCTGACCAAGGGAAATTGAAGGTGATTGGATCTTTTTTTTTCAATATAAAAAAATATGACGGCAAAAAACGTACAGAAAGAAAGAAATAATAAATGGAAAATAAAGAATAAAGGATGAAGATTCTGAAGAAAACAAGAAGTAATCAGTGCCTAAATATGTCAGAACGCAAATTGATGGTGATTGGATTTTTGTTATTAAATAAAAAATCTAAAGACAAAAAACGTACAGAAAGAAAGAAATAATAAATAAAGAATAAATAATTAAGAATAAAGATTCTGACGAAAACAAGAGGTGATCAGTACCTAAATATGTCAGAACGCACGCATCATCACACGCACACAGGCACATGCGTGCGCACACCTAGTCCAGAATCTGACCAATTTTACTTTTTCATGATATCCTCCAAACTTGCTGCAGGCCGAAGATGACGTGTATGGCGCACCATTTGTCAAATAATTCAGATAATCTGTTATGTTAATCTGAATCATTGGAGTTTTCTCGATAAACTAAGTTTGTCTCAATAAACACTGTTTATCAGTTGATAAACATAGTTTATCGCTCGCCATTTGCCCAATAATTTCGAAAAAAAACTGTTTATTAGCGATAAACAATGCTTAACCGAATTAAAGGCCAAATGGCGCACCATACACGTGATCCCCGAATTTCTACGCCAGTCGAAATTGAGCTGGGCGTACCATTTATGCATACGGATTCGTTGATCACGCCATCTTCGGCTTGCAGCAGGTAGGGGATGGGAGAGATCACCATCGCGAAATTAAATAAAACCGTCCAGATTCTGGACTAAACACACGTCCATGTAGCCAAACCCTCGTAAAACATTAGATTATCAAAACAAAGTTTTATTCTACATACCGCGTCAGCTTGTGTGAACGTTTGTCGCAGCTGGGAAATACTCGCCCTCCCAAACAGTGTTTCGACACGCTCATTGGGCAGTTGCCAATCCTCGGGCTTCGTCTGAACATTTGACAAACAAAATCACGATATAATAATTATGCATATATAAGGCTACTGCTACAGCATGACTCATATAGCTTATGCACAACAGATTGAATACAAAAGCTAGAAAGAAAGTTTTAACATTGATGTAAATGTAAGAAATATCTTATTGCTTTGATGCAATTACGAGACAAACATTTTCCATAGTGTTTATATACTCAGCAGATTAGAGTATGTAGGTTTAAACTACAACAGTTTAAAACTATTGCCTTCTCGTAACATTGGACGTTTACGTATAACGAACAATACAATGTCTCTACCGTTAAATAAAAACAGACAATTAGTCATATCAGTTAATTCAATGCGAACCTTACTTTAATCTATTACATTTTTAACGAACGTTGTTTACTGAACCGTCGTCATCAAAGAATATTTTAGGGGGTCTACAAAAAGCTCTTCTCCATCTGAAAAGTAATAAATCACTTGTTTTAATTGAAAAAATAATAAATAACAAAAGTAATAAATCACTTTTTTTAATTCAAAAGAAAGCCGTGCTAATTTGAGGTGTGTAACATATTGAAATAAAGTTAGTACGAGTAGTATAATGATAATTTAAACAAAACTTTGTATTAAAATAAGAGCTTACTTTGAAAAAGAAATCGGCATCATCATTTGCGGCAGCAGTGTCTACGCGGATTGAAGACGAACGCTCTCCCTGAAAGTATAAGAAAAAGGTAGACATGAAAACATCTGTTATTAAGAAGAGAATGACAAATGACGTAATGCGAAAGTGATTTCTATAATCCATAATTGAATACAGGATATTGAAATTGCACTTGAGTTAATTTCATGAAAGTATTTGCGGTCTTGTTTGAAACCTCCCCCCCCCCCCCCAAAAAAAAAAAAAAAAATTGCCTCCAGAATCCTATCCCCTGACAAAGAAGAAATACCCGTTAGGACACCTACCCTAGGTAACACCCCCCCCCCCCTCCCCAACTACCCGCTTAACTTGCTTGTGGCTCGTTTAGATACGACGCGGTAGTAAACCGCCTCAAAAATTACACTACTTTTTTAATCTTTAACATGTAAATAAATGGCAACTGCGGGCAACAAAGTTCCTGCTCGAATTCGCTAAGCTTATTGTTATATCATAGGAAAAGTGAAGCATAAATAACACTTACGTCATTAACCCCCCCCCCCCCCCCCCCCCCCCCGTGATTGTAAAATCGAAAATTTGACTTCTTGAGGTAAATTCACTTTTCGGGTAATGTGAGGGCGCTTTTTCCACTAGTGCTATCGATAAATCCCATCATGTCTTCTTTTAGAAATAATTTCCGCTTTCTTGGTACTTTTTTGTATTTTTCCTTCAGATTTGATGGTAAAACGGTCTATCTTTGAGTTAGCCCATTGTCGGTAATATCTTTTGGAGGTAAACCGAGCTATCTTTTTCATAGTATGGCAATAGTGTTGATGGTCTAATTAGAAGATAGACAATTTTACCATAGTATGGCAATAATGTTTATGGATAGACCATTTTACCATTTTATGATGTGTAGTGGGAGTGTATTCATGTGCTGTGGTTAAACAGTCTACCTGCACAAAAATCTCATTTATTTTATAATTAAAACCCAAAATAAGCACAAAATTCTTCAGTCATCAGTGTTTAATATGCTTCTTCTTGTCCCATCGCTAAAAATGGATTATACCCATCTCCTAAAAAAGCTCTAACCTCTAAACTTGAAAGTCATTTTTCTCAGAACAGCGATTTTCGAGAAATTGTTAATAGAGGAAACTGTCCGGGGGGACTATTATCATTTTAAGGGTAGCTGCGTCTACTGTCCGGGGAGATTTTTTCCGGAGATAATCCGAAGGTGGTCGCCCTGATACACTAATGGAACATACCACTAAGATGTTTAAGATGACGTCCTTGAATGGTCCCGTATCGGACTTGCTTACATCTTCATGGAGGACCGTGGAGAAAGCTTAAAGAAAAGGAAGAAATAGCTGCATTCATTTGCTTGTCCAAACATAGTATGGTATTTTGTATTGAAACCTCTTGTCGTTTTATAAAAAATCTATAGCAAAAGTATTCAGGGATCGATAAGGAGTTAGCCTAAGTCTGAGACAAGAAGAAAATGTATGAAAACCTGGCAAACATATACAACAGCTGATATAAATATGGGCACAACGGGACCAATGACTAGATATTATTAACCCCAATCGCTCACGTCACGGTGGTTGTGTCACCTGGCCTACACAGGTGACTAACGTTTTCTATAAAATGTGTTTGCTATTGTTCGAATCCGTGAGAGCAGTGATTAACTACATGCATGTAATAACAACATGGCGTCCACCTCCAAATCAATTTGATACAAGTATATTAAATACTCAACACCAAACCAAATTGTGATTTGTATAAATCATAGTTTGTTGTAAAAGGTGTTTTCACATAAAAGTATAATCTTTGAAGAGCATTTTGATTCGTTATAATATGGTGTTATTTGATTTTCTTCTGCATTTTTATAAACATAAACAATTTTCGGTAACGTTTCAAACAAAAAATATTAGAAAGTAATTACTGACAATGTATCATAAGTAAGCAAATATAAATACCAAAATTACGGTAAAATAAGAAAAGATAAATTGTCAAAGTATCGTATTTCATCAAACTTTAGTAAATTATTTGCTTCCAATTGTTTACGTTGATGAATTCCTCTTAACAATTTTGAGCCCAAATATTATCATTCTTTAATCTTGCGCTTTACAAAATGTTGTGTTAATTTCATCCACGTGCCTGCAAATCTCAATATTAATTCTATTTTTGTATTGTTGAACTTGAGCTTAAAACTTACAAGTTAACTCTCATGTGATAGAAAGCAGGTGATAACAGTTGAGGAACACCTTAGAAACACCGGGAGATACACCTTAGTGTGTCGATGGCATAGAATCATGTAAACAAATGACATCAAATTAATGAACGGTTGATGAATTCTGACGTAGATGAGAACTAAAATACTGAAGTGGATCGGTCACTTTTACCACTGAAACATTGAGCAGGAAATAACAGAAGAAAAAAAAATTCCGAAAGGGACAATGAATGGCAATTTAATTCAATTACGAAAGAAACAATATGAAACTTACTCTCTTTGTATATAGCTGCAATTCCAAGAACGTCCTAGGGAAATATAACATATGAAGATGGTCTAAAATTGCTAAAATATATTATGATAACACAGGTTAACATCGGTAATGACCATTTCAGACTGATAATTATTGTAAACATCTGAGAAATGTACTGTACATGTATTTTTTTGAGATCCTGTACCCTTTGTTGGAGATTTGACAATAAATTATACTCTTTTCATTCCCTGTATTACTCTTGAAATTATTAATTTGTACTTACAACTAATGTACTGTACATGTTCTCTTCATGATGTACTAAGTGTATCATGTATTTAGCTCTACTAGAGCTTAAATCTGGGCCCTGTTTCATAAAACGGTATATCAATAACAAAGTTACATAACTGTAATAAGCTATTGAAATCGTGGCATTTTATTGGCTGAGAGAAATGTTGTCATAAGAATAAAACAGTTGTTATTGATAACAATTTTGTATTGAAAGAGGGCCCAGATAAAGTGAAATTTGTTGTCAGTTTAATTTCAGAACTTCCAAATACTTGGTAATGTATGGCTATAAATCCTCTCCGAGAGAGTTGGTAATGGGCACTAGGGCAACAGGTCATCGGCTCGGTTTGGAACCCGGAAGTTCTCGGTTACGAGACTCCTGCTCTACCACTGAGCCACTGCACCTCACTAGCACACCTTCATTACACAATAACAAAATTTGCCCCTAAATTTGGCTGCCTACGGTAGGGCAGTAGTCTCATTACCGAGAGCTCCGGGATTCCAAATCAAGTAGATGTACTGATGTCCTTTCGAATAAAGGCATTATATCTCATTACCGAGCCCCTCGGAGAGCATTTAAATCCATTAGTCCCCTGGATGCATACTTACAAGCATGCACGTACTTTCCTAGCAGTCAGGGGGGAAACAGCCATCAATCATCAAACACAGAATGACATTTGATATACCTTGATCCATTTAACACAGGAGGTTTACACTTACCGTTGCAGAGAGTGGGTAGATGATCTCGAGTAGACCGATTTCCATCTTATCACCACCACACTATGGAAATCAAAGAAGAATATTAAAAAAAAAAAAAACGTATCCAGCATTAATTATGGATTTGCACTTTAACAAGTTGCTGAAGAATAACAACTTTTATGATTCCATGGCAAAATGTTTATCTCAAGTTAATTCAACCATGTATGAGTACTATTTTTTTTATCTCAACAAAAAATACCGTGAAAGGAACAAAATTTATGAGAAACACTTGAATTTTGTTGCAGTACTCTTTGAACAAAATTGTGCTTATGTTTATATTTATTTATATTAATTCATTCAATTTAACTTTCTTCATTACAAAAAACTAAATTATCATAGATTGTTAATATCTTAAAGAAGTATTTGAATACTTAGTATTTGAATTTGTTTTTTGTTCCTTCATTGCTATTTCTGTTATGTCTAAAGCCACTTGTCCCCACTTTGCGGTACTGACTGGTGTCTCCATTAGTACAGGGGTATCGGTGAAGTGATGTAACTCACTTGGCACAGGTTGTTGAGGCATCGAGCAATCATGACTGCAGGTTCATCCATTAGAGCTTTGACAGTCTTGCGGTAGTCTCCGCTCAGTTCATCCTTCAGGCTATCGACAAGGTCCTTCGTGACACAAGTAAGAAGAACGGAACATGAGGAAAAGAGATAATGATAATGATTACAAATTATAGGCATTTCTATAACGCCGTCTATCTAGAAATTTTATTCCAAGGCGCATTAATTAATACCCCGGCTTTAGTCTAGCTGCCTTTACAGCGCTCCAACATTTCAAGGAATAAATTCCTGCCAGGTACCCATTTACCGCACCTGGGTCGAGTGTGGCAAATGAAGATTAATACCTTGCCAAAGGACAATTCGTGCCGTATCGGGGACCGAACCACGACCTTTGAATTTCAAGTCAAGTGCTTAAACGACTAGACAAAGACACTTCTACAGATTTTTTATAGTATTTGGTTCTGCATCATGTAAAATATATTTTACATGAAAGTATAAGTTCTTTAAAAAATATAATGAATTAAAGGTAAAGACCAGTTATGGTCATGCGATTGAATTGTGAAAGAAACGTTGTGGAATCGATCAGAAAAGGTTGATCATCTAGCATCTAGCATCTGCAAGGTTCTGGAATCATCAAAATGATAAGAAATTTGGCCCATTCTTCGTAAAGTTACAAGCACTATACACAGAAAGATGTATATGGGACTACCCTATATCTCTCACAGGACCATGAGAGAAACAAATTTACCAAATATATCAATTAGTAGGCGGTTTCCCGGCAATTTTTTTATCATCATGTATTAGTCAAAACATATTCTTTCACATGATTGGTAATGAGAGCTTCCATTTCATTTTTTTGAAATTGGGGCGTTACCAATACTGGTCTTTACCTTTAAGTCTAAATACGAAAGATAGTTCAAGACCGCTGGCTCACGAGTCAAATGGCCACAGTTTTACCCTTACATGTATATATGGTGACCCTCATGACCATTTGGGACGTTTCGGAGAAGGTAAGGTATTTAGTGGATGTACAAAAATTGTTGCATTTCTCATTGTTTAACCTACATGAACTTAATTTCTATTGAGTATTTTAAATTACTTGAAATCGCAAATATATCGCAAAATGTTTCCTTTTATTCCAAGAAACTAAAATTGTCTACCTTTCCCTAGGTTCTTATTACTTTGGAAAACGTGAGCATCCAGATGATACTGCAGTTGCCAATAAATTCAATAAACCAGGGGGTGTTTCACAAAGATCCTAAGTTGCACTTAAATATTATGGAGAGCCATTTGTAGCCTTAAAATAAAATATGTTCAAAAGCAAAAATTCAAGTATTTTAGACTTTTTATTAAAACATGAAATGTCCTTAAAAATAGAATATATGAATGATTCAAATCAACATTTTATGCCTCTTAAAATAACTTTTATAAAATATTTTCAAAGATGCTAAGAGCTTTCCATAATTGTTAAGTCCAACTAAGAGATAAGTTCAAGTTAGGATCTTTGTGAAACACCCCCAGGGATTTATCGCAGATCTCCTTTGTAGCTCCTTTATAATGCCTTAGTCAAACCAACGAAACCGACACCAGACCACCCCCCCCCAAAAAAAAACACAACAACAACAAACAAACAAACAAACAAAAAATAACAAACAAAAATAACAAACAAAAAATAACAAAAAAATACCCCAAAAAATACAAATACAAATAAATAAATAAATAAATAAATCATTACCCCGAATGGGCAAGAGCTTGTCGGTTTTGGAGTTGGTTTGGCGGTGCGACTATAAAGGTATGAGACATATGAATATGAAATATTAAAATATATTACAAACCTGCGTGTATTTGGTCTTGAAGGCTTCCTTAATCTCTTGTCGCTGATTGTTTGATCTCTTGGTGAGAATAGCATTGATGGCGTCCTCATCCGTACCTTCGGTCATGAAAAAGTGGATAAACACAATTTCAAATTTTGCAGAAATTAACCAGGGGTACTATTACAAAAGGGGCAGGGAGTGATATTTATTTCATGTCCTTATATTTGGCCTTTTATTTCATTTAGCCTATTATATATCTTTGTTGGCAAAATTGTCGGTCCCGTTCGTCTGTTTGAAGAAGAAAAAATGAAACCTCTGTCTCCAAAACGAAACAAAAAACAATATGATTGGTTTTTATCCCACAGAATGTTAAATTTGGAATCTTCCGATCTTCCATCTTCTTTCTCTTTTCTACAACTTGTAACTCCATAATCCTTTTCCCGACACCCCTTTTCACAAAATGACCCTGTGACACCGCTTAGGACATCGCCAAACATATCACATATTGAAGAAGATAAAATGAGAATGTCTTACCGAAACCGGCCATAGCTTCATAGAGTGCCGTAGCGTCAGCATCCTTATCGAAAGGGACAGCTGGTTTTACAGTTCCCTGGAGAAAAAAAGGTTGCATGATACAAGCTCGGTGAAAATATCCCTGCGGTCAAGTTTTAGTTCAATTTTATTCCATTCTAATAAAAGCATATGCTCATGTAATTTTTTTTTTAAAGCACAGATGCAAATCATTATACATATAACAAAGGTTACTATAAAAGACCAAGGCGGTATGTCGAGATAGTCCCTTTATGAAAAAAAAACTGAAAGTGCTGAAAAGCAAGAGGAAAATAATAATATATAATCTTACCCTTGCCGAATTCTTAGTTTCAACCTTTAACTAAACATTTCAGCTGACCTATACGGTATAGCGCCCTAAAGCTAAATCTAAGGTAGATGCAACACTGACGATTTCTCCGTTTTTCAGCGAAGCATGTGTTGGAGCCTCCCCCCCCCCCTACCAACAAAAAAGAAAGAAAGAAAGAAATATGACTGATAAATGTAAACAAATATATTTAAAAAAGGAGACATATGAGAGCAGAAATGGGAGTAGGTGGGAAAGAAGTGGGAGAGAGAAAAATAAGATAACGAGAGAAAGAGGGAGAGGGGGTTAAATGAAAGTTTGGGAGTCATTAAATGACATAAAATAAACATAATGAAATAGTAATAAAAACCATAAACGTAGAAGTGATAGAGAGAAGTTTACATGGTAAATAAAATAGCCCCCTCAAAGATAAAATCAAACAAGAGGGAGAAAATGAAAGTAAGACAGATAGAAAGAATTTAGGACTGCGGAGAATGCAATGAATATATAACAATATATAAATACATCTCTGTGATACATGTACTTTGTAACAATAATCGTTTAAATAAAAGAGAACATAAACAAGGAAAATAAAACCATATACGCTTATCAAACTTAATTCAGCTCTATCGAAACCATGATGTATCTTACCGAAATAGTCGTCATCTTAGCAATTCTTGTTAAAAAAAAGTATGTCCTACTTCGAAAAAACGTCATGAAGAAATGACTAGTACAGCCCAATTTTACCGGTCAATCTCTGTTTCCTTCCAGGAGTTTATATCGTTTTAATTACTATTATTAAAAGATGAAGGTTATCTGTCCTTGTTACGCCCATATACCAATAAAAGAATGAAGGACAACAATTTGTGATGATAAAAAGAGTACAATTATACTTGCACATTCTGATTTTACATGTTTTATTATAATCTTTGAGATCGGTGATGAAGGCCATGCACTGTCTAGCCAGTTATTAACATTTGAATTGGCATAATATCGAAATAAATTGTTACAAAGAATATCCGCTACGGTCGGGTTTTAGATTTATTGATGTATAGTTTTCATTATATGACTAAATATTTGTGTAAAAATGTTCTTATGCAGTACAATGGAGGGGAAGGAGGGAAGTCTTCTTATTCTTCTTTTTAGTTTTAAATGAAAGGATGTGAAGTACAATAGATTGGAGAGGGGGAAAGCTAAACAAAGCAAGAGAGAAAGAGGAGAGAGAAAGAAAGACAAAAAGTGAAAGAGAGGGTGAGAGATAGAGAGAGAGAGAGAGAGAGCGAGAGAGAAAGATAGTGGCGATAGAAAGAAATATCGTGAAAATTAAGTTTTTGCTAAAAGAAAAATAAATGTTGGGGGAATAAACAGAGGAAATAGCTGAGGAGGAAGACAGGAAGGGCATATACCTAAGAAAGTTATTTTGTATCATTCAATAAACGATGATTGAGGTAAAATAATATTGCAATGACCTCGCATAATATTCATATACAAGGCATCATTATATCATCTTGCTTTAAGAAAGATAATACCTGGTAAATGTCCCATAAAAAGTAAAACAATACGTTATAGCTCAGAACATTGATAAATAAAAGAGAAACTTCACGAGCATAAATTACGGGAGAGAGAGAGAGAGATGGAGAGAGAGAGAGAGAGAGAGAGAGAGAGAGAGAGAGAGAGAGAGAGAGAGAGAGAGAGACGGGGTGGGGGTGCGTGTAAAACACTAATCATGCCAATTATGACATGGTGTAACTGTCTACATTGTAAATGTGAAGAAAAAAATCATCGATTTCTAAATGATGATGAAGGTTCCGGTTATTTTTCATAATTACATAGGTATTATACATAATACATGGGTATTATTATGTGCTCATATAATGACGTAAGGAGGAAGAGGGTGGGGGAGGGAGGGAGCGGAGGTTATTGCTACTAATGGTAATCCTGAAATAAGATTTAGAGGAGGAGTTCGCTCACCGGTGATTGGTCAATGCCTTTAGAGATATAAGCCTCTATGTCTTACCAGGGAGTTGAAAGAAAGGAGTGTGATCAAGTCGCTTGAACAGGTGGTGAAATAAAACAGCGCATGACATTAAAAGATTTAAAATTTCTACATCAGAAAATGGTATTTCAGCAACTGTTCGCTGTCCCTCTCAATGATTTCTCATCCATTGTTCAATGTGTAATGAGTAGAACAAGCGAACACAAACTTGCGTATTTTCATCCTTTTTTCCAACTGCAAAAATTCAAAAAAGATACGAAAACACGCATAGCAAACTTAAAGTTATCGAAGATTGGGAATCATGGATTAAATAACGGGACATTAAAACATGCACAAATTAGCGCATTATCCTGAAATATTGAGTTTTTGTCAGGATCTAATTTTTCTGTTACCAACTCTGGCACACAAATTGTAGGAAGGGCGGAGTACTAAATTTGAAAAATTGTTTGATTCACTATTCCCAATACAATCCCCATTTAAAGTTTATAATTTTCACTGAAATTTTGCTGGTAATTTAATATTTTGTAATAAATGTGAAACTGGTGCCTGGCCTCCGAAACTCCTAGCAGTAGAAGCGCGGCTCGGAGCATGGAACTTCAAAGTCAAGTGTAATGCACGGGTCTAACCCACGACCTTTACATTGTCAGTCGAATATTTAAACAACTTGACCACGAACTATGAAGAAGAATATACAAAGTAACAAACGATTGAATGGATTAATAGAACAAGAACGAGAGAAATGATAATAAATGCAAGAGAGAGAGGTGGCCGGAGGGGCACGAATGGAAGGGGAGGGAGAGGGGAGAGAGAGGGAGAGAGAGAGAGAGAGAGAGAGTGTGTGTGTGTGTGAGAGTGAGAGAGACAGAGAAAGAGGGAGAAAGAGAGAAAGGGAGGTAAGATACAAGTTATTTCCTGGTCTGAATGAGATAAAGTGCTCTTACCAAATCACGGAGTTTGTTAACTTACAGGTATCAAGTTACGGGAAGCTAATGCAGGAAATAGTCTAGTACATAAATCTAATAAAACGTACGAAGTCCTCAGACGGTACTTAAGAAACTGCGTTGTTTTTTTGGAAGCCAGCAAAGGTGTTCATTCTTAATACATACACAATTTGCTTTATGAATACGAAAGCTGGAACTGTTGCCAAAGCTTTTATTGTAACAAACAGCTCAGTGTACTTGTGGAGAACGATCAATATGGCTAATCTCACGATGGATTCCATGACGCGAACACTCTTGATCTTGATAGTAATATTTTTTGGAGGTATCGTGCAGAAGGTTAGAGTGGACATGCCAATCAGTTCACAACAGCCAAACTATACATGCCCGGTCCAGGATATTCAAATCGCTAAGTGTGCTCATCTCAATCTTACCTCAGTTCCCCAAGACCTTCCGCATGGCCTGTTGGTCTTATCCATCCGTCAAAACCTATTAACAGAACTTGTAAACATGTCTTTCATGAATTACAACCAACTTGAAGAATTGTATGCTGGTCACAACTTCATTGCCTTCATTGATAGTGGAACATTCGAAACTCTACCACAATTGCGGGTCGTGAGACTAGATTATAACCTGATTACTTTTCTACCCATGTATTTTCTTCAGAAGAATGCTCTTTTATATATAATAAATCTATCACACAACAAGATCAGTACCATCTCTGGCACTTCGGTGAGTACTCCGAAGGGTGGAAATGCTTATGGATGGCGAAATATGTTGATAGTTAATCTATCCTTCAACACAATTACTACTATAAATGAGGATGACCTTTTACCTTGGAGAAATTGCTTTGTCCATAAGTTCAATGTAAATGATAACAATGTGACGTTTATTCAACCTAAGGCGTTTGGATATTTGCCCAAATTAGGTACTCTGAACATGAACAATATCAAGTTAGCTACTTTCGACGTCCGGTATTTCATGGGCCATGTTGAAATCGAGCGACTTCTGATTGATTCTTCAGGCATTAAGTACATTCATCCAGCGAACATATCGTCGATGCGAAAAGAAAATGTGCCACTGATTAAAGACCTTAATTTAGATTTAAACATCTTAAAACATATTCCAGGGTTTGCTCTGCGTGGTCTGGAAAAACTGCAAGTCCTGAGCCTTGGAGGAAATCGTATATCTAACATCAATAATGAATCATTTTGTGGCTTACATGCACTGGTAAACATAAGTTTGTATGGGAATAGAATACAGTCACTTCCACGCGCCTCGTTCGCTTGCGCCTCAAACCTCAAGAAAATTGATTTGTCACGTAATAACCTCGTGACATTGGATCCCCAATGGTTTGACGGATCATTTTTTCTCCGTAACCTGGTGATTGATCAAAGTGGCATCCGTAGCATCACGTTCAGACCATGGGAGGTAACTAATCTTCAGACTCTTGTTCTTACAAAAAACTTTATAAAAACCCTTTATCATGAAACCTTCACTGGGTAGGAAAAATTGAAAGCACTTAATCTTTCTGGCAATGCCAATCGTTTGCGGATATTAGGGGACGCCCTCACTTCACTCGGTTCCTTAGAATTATTCGACATGTCGCATTCGAATGAATTAACCATGAAAGGTTCGTTTAGAAATATGCAAAATCTACTTTATCTGGATATGTCATATAGCCTGTTGAAAATGTCATCAATTGACCAGTTCACGAATACATCTGCGCTGAGGGTTCTCAATATGTCGGGATCACATCTCAAAGCTGAGGATTTAGTTGATATACAGACAGGGACATCGTTGTTTTCAGGCTTGGTCTCATTGCATATCCTTAAACTACGGAAAAACTCTTTAGATAACCTACACAATATTCCTGGCATATTCACCCCGCTTGGTAGTCTTGTTGAGCTAGACTTAACAAGTTGTCGTATACTACAAGTTGCGGCAGGAACATTTGCAAACTTAACGACCCTGCTAGTGCTTCGTCTGCCTCAAAATCAATTAACCAGCATTTCCAAGGACGCTTTTCATGGATTGCACAATTTACAGGTGTTGCAGCTGCAGTATAATTCAATTACATTCATCGACCAAGAGCTATTTGGGGGCACAAATGAACTTGTACAGTTGTACTTACAGAACAATCATATTTCGACCGTAGCCTCCAACACTTTCATGCCGTCAAGTTTGATTAGATTAAATATTGCAAAAAATCCCTTATCATGCCATTGCGAACTTACCTGGTTCAGACAATGGTTGAACGAGGTTGAAGGAAAAATAAATTTCGATCCAGAAAATGAAACCCTATGCTCTAGCAGTTCCTTAAAACCGTTGGCCAATCAAATAATTTGGTCGTTCCATCCGTTTGAATATTGTAGGATCAATGCCATGATAATCGTTTCAGCATGTTTTGCGCCGATTTTAGTTTTAACACTCGGTATACTCGTGTATCTGAACCGATGGTGGATAAACTATAAGTTGTATCTCCTCAAGTTGGCCATCGTTGGTTACCATGAGATCACCGAAGATCGAACTCCGGAGGACTATGAATACCAACTCAACCTCATGTTCCATGAAGACGATGAATGGTGGGTAAATGACTGCATGAAACCTTTTCTGGAGCAGAGGATGCCTCATCTGGAGCGCGTCATATTTGGCGATGCCGATCTTCACCCAGGATTGTTCTACTTGAACGCCATCTACGACGTCATCGAAAACAGCCACAAGACAATATTGTTGCTTAGCAACCAGTCTGTGGACGATGCCTGGTACATGACCAAGCTCCGTATGGCAGTGGAGCACATGAATGACACCAAGTTGGAGAAGGTCATCTTGATTTTCCTTGAAGACATCGATAATGACCATCTACCGTACCTTGTTAGGCTCTTGCTGAGTCGAAACAAGCCTTATTTGTTGTGGACAGAGGATGAAGAAGGTCAAGAGATCTTCTGGGCAAAGGTCCAGAAGAGCATGAGATCAAACCGGCAAATGAACAATGTTATACCCGTTTAAGAAGAAGCTTGAGTTCTGGTCCTAAGATTACATTGTGAATTAAACTTTCCGGAAGCAATTAGCATGATTTAAAAAGCTTGATCATAATTATACGAGGTAACACACACAATTGGTGTAAACTGTGAGGTTTTGAAATCATGCAACTGATAAGAAATTCGAACAGAGGTGCTGAAAGCCTCTAGCACTGAATACCATGTCAGGGAATTGTGTGTATGGGATTACACAAATATGTGGCATGGCAGGTTAAATTGTCCAAACCCTTCAGCTGTTTATTGTGATATTTCGAATGTGAGGGCATTTGGGTTAGGGTTAGGTGCGAATAGGGACACAGTGTCGCTTGACGCAGTGTTCTTTGTGCGCTCATGGCTGGTGCTTTGTTGTAAATGTTGTATACTCACATACAGGTGTTTATAATCTTTTTCTTGAATATATTTGTTTTCCCGTTAATGTTGTTTTTGTAAATTTTTCTAATTTCTCGATATATATGTCATGGTTGGTGCCCCCAATAACAAGTTTGTATTAAACTTATTTTGGGGCTCCATGTTTTTATATTTCCATTAATTATTGTATATGTATTTTTATGGTTGAAATACAAAGAATTGCATTGAATTGAAGAGCAACCCTTCTCGGGATACAATTCTACAGAGATTTTCTTCCAAAATAACTTTGAAAAACTGAACAGGTTGCAATTTCTCATCTTTGCCCAAAACTCAACCTTCTGTTGCAAACGCATGGTGGTGTGACCATAGTTCGCGCGTGAACTTTATTCGTGGACAGTTCCATATCTCAAAATATTCGGTAAGATCTCAAAATGCTGATATCACCAATGAAATGAAGAATATATACTTAATACCTTATAACGAAATTGGGTTTAAAAAATATAGATACTGACGAAAAATCCTCAAATTTTGCAGTCTTTTGTGTCCGTTCCGAAAAAAGGAACTTACAGACAAGGGTCTGGAAATCTTCATTTTGAGAGACGATGTCATCAAAATTGTTAGTAAACAGTAATACCCACTGATTGCATGGAATGTTGATTTGCAATTTATGCAATTTCCTTTGATTAATCGCTTGTTTTGTCAAAGCACTTGAGTATACTCTCGTGTGCTAATTAAGGTCTCTTTGTTTTTATGATCTTTTCTTTAGTTGTAGCGCATTCATATTCGATATCTAATTTTGAGATCGCGAAATCGCAGGAATTCTTTGGACGATAAATTTTCTAATCGCACCTATTTGTAGTTTAATATTTGAACGTTCGTTTTTACTAATTGATCCTAATTTTGTGTATAATATGAGAAATTGTGGATCGAATATAGTATTCGTTTGATTAAAATGTAAACTAACTGTGTACACCCCATCCTACTTCCCTTGCCATGTGCCTGTGATAGGGAAAGTTTGTGTAGGCCAACTGCTGATTAATATTGAAATGTCTTCTTGAAGTTTCGACTTCCAAAAGGTGTTATTCATTTATGAATTTCGAGTTTCATCTTCTAATTTAACAGTTTCCTGCATGAAATATGCGCTTGTAACTAAATTTAGTCCGTCTATCTTACTATCTTTTCCTATGTTGCTTTATGATTTTTGTATCGGTAACATTGCAAATATTTCGATCTCAGACTAAAACATTTTATATAATTTGGGCAGTGGGACATGGAAGAGACTGGATTTCCAACGGTTGTGTAATGTGTAATGGAGGGTGGATGGGTAACATTGTATGTGTGTCTGTCCGTTTGAGTGTGTGTGTGTGTGTGTGTGTGTTCATGTGTATGTAGGGAGGCTCTTTTTTGAAATATTATTCATTCATTGCACAACATATTATATTGTTATAAATGAGTAATAACTTCCAACTGTATATGATTCTATTATATTTCTGTACTAAGTAGGAACTAAGCGTGTTTTTTGTATATGGAGATGTAAAAATGGGAATGTGCGATTTTTTTATCGTATATTTCATTCATGCTAAAGTAATGTACATGTAAATTAAATATCTTGTAGTATTATGACAAATTATGTATATTATCATTCTGTTGTTATTTTTTGTGAATTGAATGAATAGTGAAGAAAAAAAAAATTAAAAAGCAACAAAAAGCAAACAAACAAAAAGAAATCAGAAAAATGATTTATGTTCTTACTTTAATGCAATGACAATTTACGATTCGTCCCCTTCACCTCCTGAAGTAACGAAATATATTGTCTTTATCTAAAATACTTAAAAAGACTGAATGAATTAGATATATAAGGTGTAAGCATTGAAATAATGATTTCATTGATAGTACAATTGTCAAGATCAGTGTGAAATTTATAGCAAAACATTTCGTATGGATAAATTACTATGACAATGGTAAAGTTCAAGGAAAATACGATCTCAAAGAACTTTCGAGAACAGAAATCAACCTAAGCCAATTTTAATAGCCATGTTTATTACCGATTTAAATGAATGTGCAAACATTATACAGTGCCGCAACACCTAATCCGATCATTTCTATGGTATATCAAATGATACTCAAGGTAATCAACCTGCTCCCAGAATACGTTCATAATAGGGTGATCAGCATTACCAGTTATAGAAAATGGTAATAACTTCAACCAATTTAATCAAGAACTGAGATTTTAATTCAAATACGAAAGGAATAAGTTACACTGTTATGGTATCGAAAACTCTAGGAGGTTTCCTTGTAATGTTTAAAACATCTCTTCATTAATTGTAATCCGAATAACAAGTCATATCGAAACGTGCAGTATTGCCATTAAGTTTACAAATGAACCGCGGTACAAACGTTAAGCGTGACAAAACTCATAACAGCATCTACAATGATTGAATGTTACCATGGTTACTTTGTCATTGTGTCACTTATCAGAAGGTTTTTATTTCTGATAAATCACACGTAGTTTAATACAAACCATAGGATTATGCTGCAAATATTTGAGCTTGTCAGTAATTTCACGTTTTTTGTTTTCTGTTTGTGCAACCAAAAAAAGTGTAGTTCTAAGTATTCTAATGTAGTTTACGATATATTACCATTATAATGAAGAATGTTGTTACCATAATATAATAATGCTGTTTCTAGAATGTAAATCTTAATATCTGACCATTAGATTAAATAAATTCTCACAGAAACTAGATTTGAAATCCCTGCACACATTGTACTGTACAATATAATACTAAAAACTTCATCTCTCTATTTCAAATGTATAGTAATGAATATTATGATATGAAAACTCATGAATATGGTAATCTTCACTTGCATATGTTCTCTGTTTTGTCCGTCGCTTTAGATGTTGTATCATCACTCTAATTAAGTAATCAAACACCGAAAAAGTGGTAAAGCTAGACAAATTTCTTTCATTTTATTTTGTTGTTGACGGATTGAATGTGTGCTATATTATATATCCTTGAAATCACGTAGATGCCCTGGACCATACATATATCTCAATAAATGGGTCTTAATTGAAAGTTGTAGAGGTTCTGTTCTATGAAGCTTGTGTTCATATTATTGTCATGGATGTGTGATTGCCTAATCCTACACAACATTCCAAAGGTCAATACTCTACAACACCCTCTGAATATTTCAAAATATTACAAACAGGAATGAGATCAAACCACAGTGCATTCTAATTTACATCTATATTAAATACTCATCTACTTTTATCCATTAAAACCAAAGATTTATATGTACTGTGCAAGTTCTTCAATAGTATACTATTTTTTTTTATAGTTTTGTACACATATATGCAGTGTATGAATATAATAATACGAATTGCTAGGGTTTGTATTGTAGTAGTACATATATATAAATATATATGTATAGTAAAAGAAACGGATTTCATGATGTTTAACCATCGTATCTAATAAGCTATATACGTAACATTTATTTGCACATGCCCCAATATAGATATATAATATCGCTTGATGCGATTGTACTCCAGCACCCGCTTCACAAATCTCAGACGATATTATACTGTACGGTATTATAAACAAGTCATATCGGTACCTAGATTATAATCCCCAAGCCAGCTTATGAAAAGCTCACAGTAGTAAACCATGTACTCCCAAACCCTCACATGGGAATGATATGGCATCAAGGTAGATGTAAACGGAAACACCGCCACTTCATCAGGCAGTGAGTGTTGTCATATGCATGTACCTACAATAGTGGTCATTTATCTACCTGTCTAAAGTGGCCACCTTTATTATTGGCTCCTTCCCTAGAGCTTGTAGCGCCTGTGATGTTATGAGAGTACAAAAGTTACTAGCCTTGGCTATTCATAAGGTGGCTTAGTAATTATGATCTTGGTAACGTTAAGAATTTGTTCTTCTTCTTCATAATACGGTACAGCTATAATACTGTGTTAACTTGGTGAATGGAATGACTCCAGCCGGTCTTTAGGTGGTGGTGGGGGCTGGGGTAGGTGCAGCATCGGCGTTGATGATACCAATGAGAACATTCTTGTAGTCTTTACTGGTATCGTCTTCGACCATGGCGGCCAGGGTGGTGGTGGGGTATTTCTCTTTGAACATTTTCTTGATGGAAGCCAGGTCGATCTAGGCCAGAGAGAGAGAGAGAACGCCAAAGATATATTCAAAAGGAAAACAAAATAAATTCAAGGGAAGAAAATAAAGTGTCCTTTTTATATCATAAACGATGTATTGCTGGTTCCTAATCTAGATTCTTATTGAACCGATTCAGGCGCGTACGCAGGATTTTTTTCGAGGGGGGGGGGTTAAAACTTTTCGAAAAATTCGCAACCACTCGGCCGTCCGCTGAATAAGCGGGGGTGGGGGGGGGGGGGGAGGTAAGAGGACATATTTTTGTTGGTTTTTTTGTCCCAAAAATTTCGCAACGACTCAGCCGGTCGCTGAATAAGCAGGGGGAGGGGATTAGGGGGGGGGGGGGAGGGGGTAAGAGCACATTTTGTTTTTTGTTTGTTCTTATTTCTGCATTTTCAAAATGAAAAATAATCATATACATAAAGTAAAAAATATTTCTTCATTTTACATAATTATACATTTTTAAGCAAATTGAATAAGATGCATACAAACACAAATATAATTTTAATGAAAAAAAGATAATTTACAGAAAATGCAGGAGACTGCCATCATAAGCGGTAAGCTTGAAATCGATGGCGGCCTTGTGTGTGTGTGTCTTAAAATTTGAGAATTAGGCCGATCAATATTTCGTTTCGTTGGGGGGGGGGGGGAGGTGAACTTTTTAGGTCACCCATTACCACAATTATTAATTCTTTTATTAAAAACAAAAAAGTGGGGGGGGGGGGGGTCTCCAAAACACATACATAAAAAAGTTAAGTGGGGTTCAATATCGTAGACAACGCTTCTTAAGTAAAACTAAGGGTTTCAAGTTAGAAGGACTTGTATTTGCCCACACGATGTTACCATATGACAAAAAAGAGAAAATGAGTGAATTATAAATCATTAAAAATACATTTCCTGGTAAATAATACTTCAGCTTTGACAATAATCCTTTAGTTTTACTTTGTAGAGACCATGGCAATATGGGATTTCCATGACAATGTTTTATCTATGAGAATACCTAAAAATTGAATATTTGAGACTTTTTCAATAATTGTTTGATCAATATATAATGGTGGAACTTGATTTTTCAATTCTCTTTTGTTGCACTGAGCTGTTCTAAAAAGAATACATTTGGTTTTGTCTAAATTAAGCGATAGTTTATTTACCTTTAACCACAGAGATACATTCTTCATGCGTTCATTAAACTGGTCTATCAGTGAGTATAAGTTAGTATGGCTTAAGAACAAAGAAGTGTCATCAGCAAACTGTACAAATTTTAAGGATCGAGAAGAGTTGCATATGTCGTTTATATATAAAAGGAAAAATAGGGGCCATTTGACCCTTGAGGAATTCCAGATTTAATCAGTTATTTGGTAGAACTGTATCCATTATATTCAGTAAATTGGTACCTTTGTGAAAAATAACTCTCAATCCAATTTAACGCAATACCTCTAGCACCATAATTAACTAATTTCTTAAAGAGAATAGAAATATTAACGTTATCAAACGCCTTACTCAGGTCCATAAAGACACCACATATAAACTGTTTTGAATACAAGGCATTAACAATGATATCATAAACAGATATTAAAGCATGGTCAGTAGAATAATGGGTTCGAAATCCAAATTGATCATCATGTAATATATGGTGTTTAGATACAAAATTATATATACGATCATAGACTAATCTCTCCATGATTTTTGAGAAGCGTGACAAAGTGATATAGGACGATAATTACCAATAGTGTGCTTATCGCCCTTTTTAAAGATTGGGATAATTTTGGATAATTTTAGTTGTGATGGTACTATTGCCATTTGACGAGAGAGATTAAACACATAAGCTAAAGGTTTTGTAATAACATATCTGACATACTTAACAATATCTGGACTAATATCATCTCATCCACACGACTTTCCATTTTTAAATGAGTACATTATTTTCAAAATTTCGTCTCCATTAATAGGTTTCAGAAATAAACTTTCCTTTATCGGAGGTATCATAAAAGAGGAGAAATTTAAATCTTTACAAGTAGTTGCATCAATGGAAGAAGCTAGTTTTGGTCCAATATTGTTAAAATAATTGTTAAAACACTGGATATCAATTGCGGACCATTTAGTGTTCTTCCTTCGTGTATAAAGTATTGTGGTAAGATGGGTTTTCGTTTTTTAAATATTCTATTAATCAATCGCCATGTTTTCTTGAGGTCAGTTCTACAATCATTAAACCTTTGATAAAAATACATTTTTGTTTGCCTTTCTCAATTCAGATGACACTTTGTTTCTAATCTTCTCAAATTTTTCTTTATTTTCATATGTAGGATTACAACAAAACCTTTTATAAAGTTTGTTCTTCAATCTTATTTTTTCAACAAGTTAATGATACCCATAACTTTTTGTTTTTATTTTTCTTATTACTCCTAACAAAAGTGAAAGATTCATTATAATGCCTTCGAAAGTTGGAGAAAAAAAATTCATAAGCAACATTGGGATCTTTACTTCTATAAACATATGTCCATTCTTCAGAAGATAACTTGCAGAAAAATGACTTCTTTGTGTTATCCTTGATTTGTCTTATTTTCTTTCCCTTATAATACTCATAACATGTTTGAGCAGTATTTAGTACTACAAAAACTGGAAAGTGGTCTGATACATCAGAGTATATGATACCAGCATTTACATTTGAAGTATAAGAATTAATAAAAATATTGTCTATAAGTGATGCAGTAGTTGTTGTAAGTCTGGTGCGTTTGTAGATCATAGGGGTTAAACCATTAGCATATACGTTGTTCAAAAAAGTATTAATCCTTGTATCACTAGAGGACTTCAGGAGGTCTAAATTGAAGTCACCCATTATATATAGATGCTTATTCTGTTTGGTTAATTTAGTTGAATTTCAACTTTAAGAATGCCTTGGATTCTTCTTACGTCTGCCTTACGGGCATCTTATGAGTTTTTCGTCTCGTGGAATGAGCTCCCTCTACAAATACGCCCACTGTCGTCAACAGAAACATTCAAATTACAACTGAAAATTTATTTGTTTATTTCGTTGTAAATATTGTAATATTTTAATTTACCATATCTAGGAAAATTTCGAATTTTGTTTTTCGGTTTATTGATGTTTTTCTTTCTTATGTCTGTTACATGTCCTTTTCTCTAAGCGCCATGAGCACCGAAAGGTGGACCTGCGCGCTATACAAGTAGCCACTATTATTATTATTATTATTATCGTACGTGTATCTGACGGAAATCTCAAGCCATTAAGATTTCGTTGTATATTTTGTCTGGTTGCAAAACAAGCGCTGCATAAATTGTGTACGTACACCTTACGAGCACCTTTCGAACGCCTTGCGAAGGCCAGGAGTCGTTCGTACGAGGACCATTAGTCAGGTGGCTTAGTGAAATTATCGTTACTTGCCGGATAAAAGCACCATTTTTGGTACAGGGTTCCCTTAGGACCTACTAAACGATATTAGGATAGGAGCCCCCGGCAAAAATTTCAATTTAAGGGTGTGGGGGCGGGGGCGTTTTTTTGAGCCCCCAAATAATTATATAACATCGATTTGTTATTGTACAAATGCCATTTTTGGTACAGGGCATCCTTAGGACCTACTGAACGATATTAGGGTAGGAGCCCCCGACAAAAATATCATATAACGGCGTGGGGCGGGGGTGTTGCCTCGTAGCCCCCAAATAATTTAGAAGGTAATATAAAATTTATATGTTGTTATACAAACGCCATTTTTGGTACAGGGCTTCATTCGGACCTGCTGAATGATGGTAAGGTAGGAGCCCCCGGCATACATATTTATATACGGGTGATTGGGGGCCCATGGCGTTTGTACAACAACAAATCAATGTTATATTACCTTCTAAATTATTTGGGGGCTACGAGGCCACGCCCCCGACCCACACCCTTATATGATATTTTTGCTGGGGGCTCCCACCCTAATATCGTTCAGTAGGTCCTAGGGAAGCCCTGTACCAAAAATGGCATTTGTACAACAACAAATAAATGTTATATTACCTTCTAAATTATTTGGGGGTTACGAAGCGATGCCCCCGCCCCACACCCATATATGATATTCTTGCCGGGGGCTCCTACCCTTATATCGTTTAGTATGTCCTAAGGAAGCTCTGTACCAAAAATGGCATTTGTACAACAACAAATAAATGTTATATTACCTTCTAAATTATTTGGGGGCTACGAGGCTACGCCCCCGCCCCACATCATTATATTATATTTTTGCTGGGGGCTCCCACCCTAATATCGTTCAGTGGGTCCTAGGGAAGCCCTGTACCAAAAATGGCATTTGTACATCTACAAATCAATGTTATAAAATTATTTGGGGGCTCCAAAAAACGCCCCCGCCCCCACACCCTTAAATTGAAATTTTTGCCGGGGGCTCCTATCCTAATATCGTTTAGTAGGTCCTAAGGGAGCCCTGTACCAAAAATGGTGCTTTTATCCGGCAAGTAACGATAATCGACAAATTTGACGCTAAGCCACCTGACTACATGCGAATCTCGGTTCGTAAGGCTTTCTAACGAACGCCGTAGGAGCCATCTATGTAAGAGCGTTCTTACGATCATCGTAAGAAATTTGAGGCTTCTAGGGATGTGTCTCAACCGTAAGAAATGTACCAATATCTTGTGTGGTTCTTACGATGTTATTACGACGTTCGTACGGCTACCTTACGAAGAGAGGGGTTCGTACGAGGTTGAAAACAAACTTGGACAAGACCATTGATTAATCTACGAACTAACGTCTACGAACGCCGGTTTCGTACGGCCTTCTCAAGAAGATCTTCCGAAATGGTCTGAAAATCGTTCGTACGGCGTTCTTAGCAGTTCTTAATGAAATTTGTGACCGAGTCTTAAAATCGTTTTACACTGGCTGCCTGCCGTAGCAACAAACAGAGTTGACATATTACTTAACTCCGTTTTTGTTTACGTTAAGCCATGCATCAAGTCTTCTTTGTGCATGGCTGATGGTCAACGAAACGGAGTAAAGT